CTCAGAATTAAAAAGTAAAAATGAATGGTAAGAATTCTTATTCTGGAATCAGATTATCATTTGTTTTTACTTTTTTATTCTGCTAAATGTTATTCAACTATATATTTTTAAAATTTCTATTCCCTTGAATTTATTTTCACATCTACAGTAATAATTTTAAAAAATGAATATTAAAACAAAGTGAGTTTAAAAGAAGAAGAATATTAAATACAATTATTTGACAAAATGTTTAATATTTATTTATTCAAATACTTGAGTGTGTGTGTGTGTGTTGATCCATCTGGTTACAAAATAAATATACAGAAAAACCATCCATCAATGGACTTTGGATGCTATAGACAAAATCTGCAGGCAAAATAAAAAATAATCTTCAGGCAAAAAAAATTTCCAAATCATCAGTGATGTATTTAAAAAATTGTGGGCTTAGCTGAATGAATCATATTAGTTCTCAAAGTGACCACTTGGTGGCAGTAACAGGCCTTTCAATTGTAAACAAAGACGGAAAGTATGATACATTAGCATGTGCATGAAAAAGTAGCTGTGAGAAATCTATTATTTTTATTTTGCTTAATATATCTATATTAAGTATATATTTATTTATGATATCTATATATGTTCATAGTATTTACATTATGACCATAACTACTGGTAGTTAAAGTAGTTTTAACTCAAAAATTATCCCTTCTCATATATGGATGATAGGTTTTAACGGACCCATATTAGTCCATTGATGAGAGGTTTGCCTGTATATACAGACTCAATATCACCCTAAAGGGCAGTTGTTTATATATATGTCTGTGTATTATTGACTCATTAATATTTTTTAGCCATCTTTTGGAAAATAATTTTTTTATTCAATCTTTAAAAAATAAACTTCATTGTATTTTTGGTTTGTAACTAACATAAAAAAGTAAATAATTTTCAATTGTTTATTAAAACCAAAAAACTATGAGACGTATTTTTTCAAAAATTAATTTAAATAAAATATAGTTAAATTCATAAAACAAATATTCAATGTGACTAATGTTGGCTGTAAGTCATATCTGTCTCTCCAAATTTTTATTTAGCTAAAGTTTTTCTTTTCAAATACAAATATAACTTGAAACTTAGACAATCACTTTTCAAAACTAAATTCTCAATGTATCTTGCTTGCTTCCACTCTCTTTCAAAATACTTAGTAATTAAATTCATTTACAGAAAAATGTTTGCTAATGTAATGTTTAAAAGTAAAACTTTATTTACTTAAAATAAATCTAAATTCCCCTCCAAAATAAATAGTAAATAATTATTTTCGAAGAAGAAAGGCTCGCTATAGTTTTTGCTTAATTTAAGTTTATTTACTTTTTTATTAATAATAATTTGAAAAGAAGGTTAATGAACTTTGATCTAAGTTTGATTTGTTTGAAAACAACAGAGTTAGTATTTAAATAAAAAAAATAAAGTGTCTTTTGAATAAAAATATGGGGATGCTCAGCTCCCTAAGAACCCCCACCCTGAGCATGGTATTGGTAGTGTCGTATTTTCCTAAATTTATCTATTTTGTAACAAACCAAAAAAAAAACAATGAAGTTTAGTTTTTAAAGATTGAATAAAAAATTATTTTCCATAAGATTGCTGAAAAATATCAAGAAATTGTTAATAATAAACTATTATTCAGAGATCTTCCGAGCAACGCTGGGTATCCCTGCTAGTGTACATATATAATTCAGATATCAGTAAGTGTATCTGTAAAATTAATAAAAGAAATAACAAGTGGTAAACCTTTTATGCCAATGTTTTTTGTTCCTTGTGGAACTTTATTAAGGCAAATGAAAAGAAATTACCTTGATAAAGTTCAAGGGCTGAAATTCATTGGCATAAAAGGTTTGCTTCTTGTTATTTCTTATATATATAAGGTTGAGTTAAGTATAAGAAAAAAATACCCAGAACATGTAATTGTATATTTATCTAGTCGCAAAAAAAAACTTTTATATAAATTGGCCCAAATACTTGGTGATGTTTAATGTCCTTCAGAAAAAAAAGAAATATTAAGGAAACCATTTTTATTGAAATAAATTCCTCTTTTTTTCTTTTTTCCTTTTGTTTTCCTTCATAAAAAGTCCACTTGTAAAGATATTGTGCAATAGTAAATACCAGTTGCCTATGATATTAGAAAAGAAAAATCTGGGATAACTTAATAAAAAATATTTTAAATGGTTTTGAATCTGTCCACTGTAATGTGTTCTTTACTTGACAAAAGTATAATGCATTAAGAGACTATGCACAAAAACGGTTGATGTAAAAAAATGTAGGAAAATTTTCTTATTTTGTGGAATAGTTAACATATGTATGTGGTTCATTTCACTATATAGATACATTTATAAAGAATTATTGTAATTAAAAGCCAGAGTTTTTTCCTGATCAATTTTGTCTCTGTTATATCTCGTGCAAGATATAATAAACAAAGTAAACCCGAGTGTTGGTTTTTCAATAATAATTTTATAATCGGTATGTCAAATACAGAGACAGAGTCGGAAGTATGCTAACCTCAATAGGTGTTAAAAAACGGAGACCTTTTCCCACTGTCCGCTGTGGTCGTACTTAATCGGCAACCAGTCCGTCCATTATCGTGAATGGGGAAGTTGGGTTATATCATCAAAACACCTCTCCCCGAAGCTGAAATTCTCCCTTTTGAAAATTTCTGCTTCTAATGTCGTCTTCTTTTTGGATCTGGGCTAAAACGCTCCACTGGTTTTCTTTCCGTGTGCTCCTTCTTTTAGTTGTCACAATTAGATCCTTTTTGGCGAAGATAATTTCCGCTTTTCAGCCCGTAAGGCTGGTCCATGCGATACAGGTTCAAATACACTATTGGGTAGTGTCATGTTAAAAGCATCGCATAACACTTCCATCGGAATTTCTTCTTCGCTTTTTTTCACTTTCTTCACCATATCGTGGTCTAATCTGATTGATGTGTCTTTTACACGTAATTTTTTTACTTTTTAATCGTAGACCACTTTACCAATCCTTTTCTGGATTATGCCATCCATCCAATAGCTTTTTCCACTTTTAAAATTAAAAAAAAAAAAACTTTGTCTCCTGAAGTGTATTTTTTTATGTTGACTTTACCTCTTAGCAACTTTTTTGTTTTGATAGGGTAACAATCTATCGAAAATTGATCTAATTTTCCTTGCGAACATAATTTCTGCAGGTGACATTTTCGCATCGTTGTTTTCATTAGGAGTTACCCTATAGATTGCTAAGAACTTCTGAATAGTTCTTTCTTCAGTTTCCATACCTTTATTTTTACATAAAGCACGTTTAAAAGTGTCAACAAATTTCTCGGCTTGACCGTTCAACCTGGGATGACACACTGGTGTAGTTATGTGTTCAATGTCTAAGGCAGTACCGAAATCCTTAAACTCCATACTTGTGAACACCGTACCATTGTCGCTAACCAATGTCCTGGAAACCCCAAAACGACTGAAAATTTCATCCAATGCACTGATGGTGTTCCTAGATGTAGGATGCTTGCACTTGACTACCTCAGGCCATTTCGATAAAGAGTCCACCAATATCAAATAATAGTGCCCATTAATTGGTCCAGCATTGTCAGGTTTAAATGCAACAGCTCGAAAGTTATCACCAAGACATATAAAAAAGTAGATGTTATCTGTACTTAAGGTAGATTGTACAACTCACTTGACTTAGAGACTTCAGTCATTGTGTGTTTTTTGAGGCTGACACATCCCCATGAGTGGCCCAAGCTTCTGGAGTGGGGGTGTATCAAATCACCATCTTTAGACTGGATTCAAGTGAACATAACAAACACAGAAAGAATTTGAACTCAGTTTGGACACCACCCATGACATCCATATAAGAATCTAGACCTTATGTGGTTATTTAAGAACATCAGATAAGAAGGCAAAAAGTGTATCTGAAGAGACATTCCATTCTTTGGGGTACTGTTAGCATGTTTTTTTTTTTTGTTTTTTTTTTAAATCAGCATAGTTTCCTTCTCTATGAGGCCAAAGAATGTTTTGTAAAACTAACTGAAATAGATGCTATTAATATAATGATTTTCAATGTTCACTGTGTCATGCTAGACAATTTTTCTTGCCAGAATATAACTTACAAATTTATAAGTCTACCATTCATCCATGCATCTAATATTGCTGCCACCTCTGGTCTCGTGCTTCTGATATGTATTTAGAGATTCTTGATAAAATCCAAAAGAAGAATCTTCAATGTTATTGGTCCTGACCTGGCATTTTAGCTTCACTTTCCCACTACCATAAAGTAGCCTTTTTGTGCCTTTTCTACAAATATTTTCATCTTGTTCTGATGAACTGTCCTCTGTGGTACCTAGACTTCATGAAGTTAAATGCAGTACTACATTGGCGGTAAGGTTTCATCATTTTAGAGTTGAAATGGCTAAATGTAACTGCATATTTTATGCTAACAATTTCTTCTGCACTTCTCACTTGTGGAACTATATTCTGGCTTCTTGCTTTCCTGTCAAGTTTGATCTTCAAAAATTTAAATACAATGTCAATATCGATCTACTGACGTCTTAATTCTTGTTCTTTTATTGTTCTCTTTTTATAATGGTTTTTTTTTATTATTATATTCTCTCACACTCAGTAACCCTTTGTGTCTCAATGGTTTTATTGCCTTACATATATCTTAAAAAACTGATGTGCTAGTTCAATTCTATGTGCAGATTCAGAATTGGCCTACATAATTTAGTCTTATACAGTATCATTTGTCTTGGTAGCAAATTTTTTTTTTAATCTAGTCTCATCAATATAATTAGAATCAGCATAGTTATTGTTGTCTAAAATATGTTTTTCCCACAGCGGCTAAATCTTTGTTCTTTAATGTATTCTCTTCAGTTTTCAGCCACTGTAATAAAGTTCACTTTTATTGAAAGTGAATAAATGGCGTCCTGTTTGCCTTTCTATGTTTTCCTGCCTTTTCTGTTTGCATGTCAATGTATCTATTTGCATTTTATCTTTTTGTAGGAAAGAGCATCAAGTGTCAGCAGTAACAAAGATACTCGGGCCGAAGCCTTTTCACATTCAGCTTCTTTTGATGAACCTGGGTAAGCCTTTTGTATTTTAAAAACATGTGTATACTTACACTTCTAAGCAAAAATTGAATAAACAAAAGTGATACTGGTCTTTATATAATAAGATATCTGAAGTTTTTCATTTTTATGTGGCCTTGTTTAAACTTTCACAAATTTATTGAAAAGTGAGAAACAAAGAATGAACAAGATTTTGTAAAATATATCTTTATTCTTTAGAAATCTTGCAAAAATAAAAAGTAAATTATGCCAACTTGATCATAAATGAAAATCTATATTGTTATACAAAAACAATATCTATGTTATTATTATTATTATAAAATCCTGGCTCCAATCTCTCACTCAACTTGTACACCAATCATATGTTAACAAGTAGGCTTTTATGGGGTAGAATTGCAAGATACACTCACTACTGCAATTTTTAACCAATAGCTCTGTGAAGGTATTTGTATGTTTTTCTTGTGCACGTCAGTGGTCACCATAAAGTTGTGGAGATATATTCACTTACACTATGTTATAAGTTTGGGCTTGTGTTTGCAAGGGAAAAAAAGAACAAACAAACAAACATACATAATAACAATGAAGAAAAAAACATGGTAAATTATAGGGTAATTTCATACAATTTTATTTATATTAGTGTGTGTGTTTTGCATTATAATCATGATAAGGTTCATCTTATAGAAGGGAGTTTCATGCTGTTTTTGAATTGCTTTTAAATTCATAACAATATATTGGATATTCAAGATAGTTATTCTTTCATTCAATTCAGTGGATGGACAAGGTACCAGGTCTTGAAGTTTGAAAATTTTAAGGTGAAAGGAGAACAAAAGACACTCACTATATTACTGGCCCTAAGAACCTGCTGATATATTTTTTAATGGACTGTGATTGGACAGTTCAAAGGTGAACTGGTCCCTTTGAAGGGGAAGGGAGAACTGGGACTGGACCTTAGCAGCAGTTGGAAGTGAGACTGAGTTAGAAACAAGAGGTTCGTTTCTCTCTCCCTGCTGAAAAGGCAGGCAGCGTTCGCCCATAAGTAAAGGATGCATGGGTAACAAAGTTGCTGAAGGCAAGTTTCCCCTTCAGAGAAAGTTTTGAAAAGAAGTTCTCTCAAAGAAGCCCCCAGAAAAGAAAGTTTGTTAAAGAAGTCCATAAATGGAGTTTGGAGCTAAGGCCATTTGAGAAGAAGGAGGAGGAGCAAACACATGGTTTTTCAAAAAGTGTTTTACCGTGTGTTTAAGTAAATTTTTACCTTCTACAGCCGTTAAAGAAAGATGTAATTTCCAGGTGGACGGGAGGAAAATAAGAGAAGAAAGAAGGGAGTTTGCTCACCAAGAAGAGAACTTTGTCTACACAACAGAGAAAAGAAAAAAGAAAAGAACTTTTGAACCTTGAAAGGACTGTAAGTGTACTGTAGATCTAAGGCCCCCCTCCCTTTGTTTTTGTTATCATTGACACAGCAGGGGGGCCCAATTCTTTTGTTTGTTTTTTTTTTGTGCATTGTAATTTTTAAGTTTTGTTTTTCTGATATATGTTTTACATTGTGTTAGTCAGAGAATAGGTTATCCTATTCTCAGCAAAAAGGGACAAATTTTTGCAAGCACCCTTGTTTAGCTGGTTAGAAATAAATATTTTTTCTTTGTAATTGAATCTGATTTGCATTTTTTTCTTTTCTTTTTCATTATTAATTCGGGCAATAGTGAAAATACTGTTGCAGCAGGTTTTATTTTCTGAAAGAAAATAAAATTTCTGAAAGAAGAGATATTGTGGACTCTCGTCGATCAGGGTACCTAATATTTGTGTATGTAGGATTTATGTCAAGCAATTCCAACCTATTGACAAAATTATCATTTTTACTTCACTGGACAAAGTTCCTTAGAAGTACAGGTCCAGGGACAAGCCATGATGGTAAAGATGAGCCAGCTGAAGAGTTTCGGGGGAAAGTTGAAGAACCTTTCATATGGTGTAGTATTGGTAAATGTTGAAAGGAAGGAACCAAGAGAATGAAGAACATTTGCTAGAATTAATTTGCCAAAGTTATATGTCAATATTGTATGTTCTTAATACCAGGCAAATATTTCTTCAAATAAATCCATTGTACCATTCAACTTGTAAATTGCCTGTTGGGTGGTATGGAGTAGACATGCTTGTAGCTATTCCTTTCTGAGTTAGGTAGGACTTTAATATATACAGCTAAATTATATTTTTAATGTCTTTTTTTCATCTTGTTTATAGTTAGCTTACATGTTAGAATCAGTTAATGTTTTTAATTTTCTTTATATCAGGCTGGTTGCTTGTCATCTTTTTGAAAAAATTTTAAAGCTAATTTACTTGTTGACAACATGGTTGGGGAAATTATTGTTCATAAGTGTTTTATTTTACTCAATTCCTTACCCCAATCAAAAAAGGCCCACACGATTTTTGCAGAAGCCAGTTCTGAGCCACTGATTCACTCTAAAGTCAGCGCTGATTTCACCCATGTAGGCAGATCTGACCATTAGTGATAGACCCCATGGCAGGCAAGCTTAACCAGGCTATCAGCAGTGACACCAAGGCACTTGTATCAACAGTGATGCCTTTGGCCTATGATAAAATCAGCAGCAGCAGAGACAAACTCTTGACTATTACAATATGATAATTTGTGGGATATTTTCTCCAAGTCTATCTCACTCAACTAAATATGCATGTTGATTTTCTCCACATGTCCATTATCTTGTACCCTGAACAAACTCTCAATCTCTCACAGCTAATATATAATACCCTGCAACAAGCAAATGATCAAGCCTTGTAAATCACTGGCAAATAAAAACTCTTTTACTTATCTCAACCACGCCTTATCTCCATTTTTTTTGTGTCATTTCTATTTTATTTTTTTGTTAATGATAAGGCCATTATTACAGGTAAAGAATGAATTTATTTACACATTTCATGTATTCAGTACATTTTTAGGAATTCTTAATTGGAAATTCTTGGGTTTTATATAATTTTGTATTAGGAATCAATGTCTGTGTGTATATATATATATATATATATATATATATATATATATAGCTTATTATTAGGCATTCATTTATCTTGTGAGATAATGTTAGAGTGCTTTTGAGAGCTGGTCTGGAGTAATTAAGCAGTCCAATCTTTGCACGGTAGCCTCTTCTGCAGGCATGGCAGACGAAATTAGAATGTGGAACGAAGGTCTGAAATTGCTTCCTGTATTGTCTTATGACCTCTAGCTGTTGGTTTCACCTTTTCTTGACCATTAATAACTCCTCTTTGAGCAGTATGGTGCCAGTTGCCACAATCATTTGCTGTTCCCAGCTACCAAAATTGATGCCTGTGAGTTTCAGATTCAGAAATAAATGAAAAAATTCTGTGTCTTCATATAATTTTGTAGTAGAAAACCCTGTGTGTGGATATATCTCTTATTAAGCTTTTCTACCTTTACAAGAGCCAGATCGAGCCAAAAATGGCCTTCTCATATTTGGGCAGCAGCTGTCCAGACGTCACTCTCTAGCCTTGATAGTATTCAAAAGTGTCTCGAAGCCCTTGTTGGTTGAAAAATTATTCTCCACCTTCCAACCTTTGCCCCACAGATAGGATGTGGTAAGCCTCTTGCTGCTCTATCGCTACTTCACAGAAAGTGCTCAGACAAACTACATTCCCTGGTCCTGCCAATTCAAAACTTGCCATGCCACTTACATAGTAGCAAACTACCCACATTTCCTCTGTATTCCATCAGTGAGAAGTATGTTCTGCTTGAACAGCTTCTTCCTGTTGGACCATTGCTCTGTGGAACTGACTCCCAAGAGCATGTTTCCCTGATCACTACAGTCTTAACCTGTTCAAGGCTCAGGTTAACCATTATCTTCCACTTCTATCTGTACAAATTGCCTCTTAATGTAACCCTCTACCTTGAGTGGCCCCCAGACCTTGTAAAGGGTAAACTTTACCGCAGAAAAAAAAAAAAATTTTAACGACAAATCCAGTTTCAAAGTTAATTTTTTATTATTGTCTCTTTCCAGACATGATATTTCCTCTTTGTTACTCCGTAAGACATCAAGTGGCAACATATCAACAAATGCTGTCTCCACAGATAGTTTTCTGCCTGATGTTCCTATACAGTTTGATTTGATGTCTCCATCGAATGAGAATTTTCCTGTTTTAGATGAAGATGGGCAATTGAAGTAAGTAGAATTCATGTTTACTTTCTTTTACTCACTTTTGATTAAGCTTCTTTTTGTTACTACTTTGATTTTTTTTTTCATCTTATAGAGGTTGGGATAGTTTCACTCAATGCTGCCAATTTCTACAAAAACTAAAAATTAACCTAAAATCTATAGACATCTTGCCTTGTCAGATCATTTTTGGCACCAAACTCATTCAGAAATATCTAGACTATCCGCTGTATACAACCAGTTTCTCAAATCAATGATCAAAACTTGTTTCAAGTGAATGAACAAAAAATACATCGCTTGAGGACTTTCAGCAGTAGTAAAAAATAAAATGGATAGCACATATGAGTTAAAGGGAAAATAATTACATAATCAATTTGTTGACATTCCACAATATTTCAAAAAAAAGGTTAGGAATAAAAGCTAGTAGACTTGGGAAAACTATTTTCTTGAAAAACTGTTTTAATAATAACATTTTATAAATGTCAACTGGTCAATTGGTCAATGAATGCTGAATGTTTCCTTATAAGGAAATGGCTAATATTACCATTACCATCAAAGTTGAGGAAAACAGATAGTACACTTTGCTCCTGGCCCAATGGCCAGAGAGTGAAGAAAACCCTAACTAGAGTAGCACTGGCTGCTTGGTCAATGAATGCAGATGTTTCCTTATAAGGAAAAGGCTAATATCACCATTACCTTTAAAGACAGCATTAAGCAGTGTCGATCAGTATTTAGATATGGGACTGCTTGGGAACACTGGGTTCTATAAGTAACTTCCTACAATCCAAAATGTTTCAGCTTTAACCCTTCAACCCCTGCGTTCCTGAACAATTTTAACCCATCTGCCTGAGCTTCTGAGTCAAAATTCACAAACAATTGGTATGTGATGTTTCACGGTAGATATAAAAATAGTTACAAGTGTTTACCCACCATTCAACCGGTGGCTGGGCATTAAGTCATTTTTCTCTACCACCTGTAAAGCAGTGGTCAGGGCTCAAAGGATTAACTATAACCCACAAATGGTTAATAAGCTGTAAAAATAATCAATCAGATTTGAATTTTTGAATATATTTTTTCAGTTGTTATTGTTGTAAACTACACTTCCAATAGGTCAATCTTTTCAGAAACATCTTTGAACATCTTTCACCATAACAAAGACACTGCAAATTAGCCTCTCCAATGCAAGAGAGCTAACTGGTTATCTCCCTTGTGCTGGCAAGAATATGCTTCACTGAGTTAGAACTAAGGATCTCATATCATTCAACTTCAATGTCATTCTTATAGATCATGACTATATTCAATGGATTTTACAGGATGTAGATTGTTTTCGTTCCATTGCCTTGATGTGGGCAGTGAAACAAGAATTGTAAATAATCATTTTAACATTATTGTTGAATGAAATGAAGAATGATTTAAACAGAAAAAACAAAAACAATCTTTTTTTTCTTCTTGCAGACGCATCAATCCATTTGACCAGATGCCATCACAAGTGCTAACTAGTCGTGTGGATAATGAATCTCATTTTAGTAAAACATTAGTTGTCCGGTTTATAGGATCCATGGAAGTTCCTCAAGACAGAGGTGATTATTATTTTTTTTTTCAGTTACTATGTTTTGTTATTTGGTTACGAGCAGAATGAAATGTTTGAATATCTGTAAATAATAGGTAAGGCCTTTCAGAATTTTGTTTTTTTGGGGGAAATTAATCTAATCATTTTATTATAAACATGACTATGCCTGAAATATAACAGTACTTTGTTCATATAAGAAAACAGATAAGCATACATGTATATGTGTGAGAGAAAACACTTTATAATCTGTTACGCCCAGAGTTTCTTTGGGACTATGATAGCCGGGACACAACGAGAAAATAAAAAAAAAAATAAACAAGAATATCCCAGGGTTCAATGTAAAATTAAAGAAAAGAATGATGGGAGGGGAATTCTCCAATTCTGGACGTCGGTGAACGCAGTGAGAAAACGAACAATTTGCAGACACAGGACAACAGAAGACGACACGAGAGTATAAAATACAAATATTTTATTTATGAAATATACAATGTATGAAATTAAGGAAAAGAAAAGAAAACTAAATAATACAAGGGATGGGGAGATAATTTATCATTGAAACATATACTAATGCGACGAAATATATATGAAAATAGAGACGGCAGATTATAGAATATATGTAAAGATGCAACAACTTACACAAGGTCGGGATCGACGTCGATCGGTTATTATCAGGGATACAGTTCCATAGAAAAGATGTTCATACACTTCCTCGAAAGTAAAGGGTGGAATTGCCAATGTCCTAATATAAGTTTTGATTGACGCCGTCCAATCCTTATTAATGGCGAGAAGTACGTACAGATAAATCACAGGAATATAGCCGACTTGAATTGAAGATACTGTTCAAGATTCTCTCGTCGTTCATTCGGTCTTTAGTGGTGTCTGAATCTTCTGAAAACAAACAGCAAAATCTGGTTTTGGTGACACCCGCTTCTTCCAATGTCAAACAGCTAAGACTAATTCTGGTGACGTCTGCTTCCTCCGACAGCAAAAAACTAAGTGAAGTTGTTTTGCCCCAACACGTGCACGAAAAGGAAACTGTTACGGGTTAAGTCACCTGTTGGCCCACGAAAGTGAGTAGGCGTTATCCACGGAACACGGAATAAGGTCATCTGAATTTATTAGACAAACAGTGTTCATCTGGTCTGCGATCAGAGAACAGACAGGAAATGGAAGGGAGGGGGAAAGGAGAGGCCCTAATTCAACCGGCTACAAAAAAAAATATACTCCATAATCTGCATATTCAAAGAAATAAAGAAGTTATTAATATTCTTATGTCTTGTCGCAAATACACAATGTACTAAAAGTATACTTATAAAATCTGAGGAAGGGGAACAATTACTTGGCTAACGTAACATATATATATATATATATATATATATATATATATATATATATATATATATATATATATATATGTGTGTGTGTGTGAAATGGACAAAGTCCAACAATTATTTTAAAACATTTTTATGTTTATACATTCTTTTTATAGGTACAAATATTTAAGTAAATGCTCTGTTTATAATAAACAGTATTAACAACATTTACTGGCCTGAATGTTCGAGAAGTTTTCATAGAAAATATTCATCCACCAACAGGAATCAAACCTGTATCCTATACGGAACCATCATATGAAACTTCTGACAACATTGCATTTAGGTTCAAGACTTGCAATCTTCTCCACACTATAGAGTATATACACATTATATACTTTAAGAATAAGTATTTAAATACATAAATATAATCTGTTGTTGAATTAATTTTTATTATTAATAATTCTGAGATCTTTTATTACAATTTATTTTCTCTGTCTATAGGACAGGTATTTAGCTCGGGAGAAAAAATATTGTTTCTCTTAGAAATATTGGTATAAAAGCTCTCTCATTTTATATTGTTTCATAATGGGTATAGGCTTATTTAAAACTGACTCTCTTTGAAAGATTTTTTTCTTTAACAGATGCAAATATTAAAAAAAGCTTGTTTGTTTTAGAAACAGATATCAGAAATAAAAAATGAAAATCTATATCGAGAAAAAGTATAAAAAAAAGAATCTTGCAAAAACTTCTCTAAGCTCATCCTGGGCATGATGATAAACTACATCTGCGTCCTGGGTAAGACGATAAACTACATCCAACAGCAAGGCCTCTGATCAGGAGGTTTTGAGGAGCATGAAACCACCTCTTAATTGCTGGTGTTCCCAGGTCCACTCAGACTGGGGTAGTAGCACCTGTTAGGGTCCCAGCTATGGGCAAATAGCTAACCCCCAAACTGGGGTCAAAATGTGTACAAATAGGTTTTATTACCAGCAATAAAAATCTTGTTGGCATTAAATAACCCCTTAAGGTTGATATGCCATAAAACAAACCAAACCAAACTTCTCTAAACCTGTTTTGTTTATTGTTTATTTGACTTTGTGTTTCATGAATTATTGTTTATTTCCTTTTAGGAGAAGCTCTGGTGACAAAAACAATGCGTCACATCATGGCAGCACGGGCCATTCACAATGTTTTAAAGATGACACAATCAGAAATGATTGTCTCTGATTCGTCCCTCAGGTGAATATATATATATATATATTATCAGTTTTTATTTTATTTTATTTTATTTTTTTTTTTTACGTAATCTAAAAAAAATTATACTCTTTACTTGCTGTAAATCACAACATTTAATGATAATGGTAATATTAGTGGTTTCCTTATAAGGAAACATTTGGTATTCATTGACTAAGCAGACAGTACAATTAAATTTATAAAATCTTTCTTTTAAAACAATTTTTCAGGAAAAAAAGTCCAGTAGCTGTTATTGCTCTTTCCAGTACCAATGGGGATTCGCTTTTATTTGAAGTAGTGTGGAATATCAACATCTTGATAATGTTATTATTTTCTCCTCAAGTTACATGTGATATCCATTTTACTTGTTGCTGCTATTGGAAGTCTTCAAGTGATGTAGTTTCTGATATCTGCTAGAGGTCTTTGTGATTCTGTAGTGACAGTCCAAAAGGATTCAAAGAAGGATGGTTTTCACCAAGATCTTCAGACTTCACTCACCCATATTTAATCACTAAAGCTGTTGTATGCAACTGACAGTTTAGATATTTCTGAATGGAATTGGAGCCATTATAGTAACTTAAAAAGAGTTATTGGAATAACAGCATATGTTCTTGTATGCAGTCACTTATAGTGAAGCCTATACTAATATTAGTGTCTTTAGTTACTTAATTCTTTTTCATTATATTTTCTCATATCTTCCAGATAAAACCAATTTGTGTATATCAAAGGCAAGATCTTTATAATATTCTTATGTCCATGAAAATGCTTATAACATAGAAATTTGAGTATAAGGTGCTACCCTCTGTGATATGTATGTATGAATGTGTATGCATGTAAGTGTGTGTAATGGCTGGCTGCTCATCTCTGATTATTCTTGTCTGCTAGGTTGACTATCTAATCCTTGTTGCAGATATTTACTCAGGCACATTTGTTCTTCTACAACACCCACAGAAAGTACATAGGGTTTATATTGCAACTATGATGGTCAGAGATTACTTAGAGTTTATCAGGGAGAGCACATAATCTGGCAGGGTCAGTAATTGAACAAAAGCTTTATGCTATGAAACCTCTGTCATGATGACTTGTAACTTCATGCTTGCACAAACATTGATAGCTCCAATTTTGCCTATCCAATTTAACTCACAAGGCTTAGATCAACACATAATATAGTTTTTCAGCTTTTTCCCAATGTTGCTGCATATTGGGATCGTCTCCCTAGGCTGATATTATTGAGTAGTCACCTCTTTGACAAGATAAAGGTTAACAATAATTATTTACAAAAATAAAATACAACAACAGACTGAAGTGAATTTGTTCACAGTGGATGTGAATACAGTGTTATGTGATAGGTATAGAGAAGGTTCTTAATTTACTTAGCTGCATTTGTCTTCAGGGGGGTCAAAGTTTACTGATGGTGTTAGAAATCATACTTGGTTTTAATCTTTTGATATGATGAGATTCAAATCCTGGGTTTTTGATTAATTTGTTTTTATAACTTATCAGCCTTTTTCAGGTTATTCAAAATCTGAAAACATTTTCTTTAGCTCATAATATTTTCTCTTTATGAGATAATGATGATCTACTGATACAAATCCTACTAATTAACCCATAGCTGGGAGGAGATGAGATGGATTTATACCTATCTCAAAGGTATTTGGCATAAGTGAATACAATGAACCTGACCAGGATTGGAACTCTGTTCTCCGATTGCCAGTTGTAAGCCATTATCCATTACATCATACGTACATTCAAGCTTACAAGACCTGGTATTTCCAAGTGATCACCCGTTTAGGTACTGCCAAAGCTTGACATTGCTTAACTTCACTGATTGTATGAGAACTGGTGTTTCGATGTATGGTTGTAAGCCTCAAATTATTGGAATGCTATAGTACGTGTATATAAAATAGATGGTTACTACTTATTTCTGATCACACCCATGTGTCAGGGCAGCCATCTAAACCCTATTACATATGCCTTCTCAATCCCCTGAGCTTACCTGTGATGCAGCTATGTATGCTCACACCTTTAGTTATGTTGACTTGTGACTTTGTGCTAGGACAACTGTTGGTGGTGCCTGAATGGTTCCATCTATCCCATTTCATTCACAAGTCTTGGATCAACTTGAGGTATTGTTTTCAAGCACTTTCCAAAAGTGGGGATCACCTCCTCCTTCTCCATCAGTCAATAACAAAAAAGTTTTCTTGATGAACAAATAGTTCATGGTGAGATTCGAACCTTGGTCTCATGGCCAGAAAGCAAATGTTCTAACCACTCAGCCACCTGCCCATATACTGGGTGTAACAGCAAAATTGTCCAAATCATGTAACAGCGTGGGATAATTGTCCATCCCACAAAATGTTTAATATCTAAAACACCACAAAACTAATTAAGTTTCTTTCTTTCCAGGTTTTCAGATAACCCTTTGGTTTATTCAGCTAGAAAGCAAACAGGTTAAAATCGTTTTGTGTCAGCCCCACTTTGTCTTCTCAAATGAGCAATGGTGAGAGGAAAAAGATAATTCAGGGCTTTAGTAATGGTAACAACGTTCATACTCTGGCTTCCATCTTCAAAGTCCATTCAAGAGAACAGTGAATAACTTTAAAAAAAGAGGGAACAGTAGAGAGGAAGACTGAATTGGGAGGTCACAGAAGCAAGAGGGATCATCATTTCAATTTAGAGCTAAATAAATTCTTATTGTTCAAAGTAGAGTCCAATAGTGTTATAAAAACCTCGGAGAATTCAGTAAGATATCTAATCATTTCTAAGATAAAATAGTTCAAAGCTTAATCTAACAGTTGGACAATTTTGCTGTTACACTAGTTGGACATTTTGCTGTTGCCCCCTGTGTGTGTGTGTGTGTGTGTGTGTGTATATATATATATATATATATATATATATATATATATATAGGGACAAGAGGCAGAGGAGGAAGTACTGCAGCAGTATGCCATCAAGCCCAGGCCAGACTTTCAGCTGCAACTACTGCAACTGTATATGCCTGTCCAGCATTGGACTTATCAGTCATAAACGTGCCTACAAGTGATGTGTAAAGATTACAACTTGATCTTCCTTTTTGCAAAGCCAAGCCATGATATATATATATATATATATATATATATATATATATATGAAAAAAAAATGATATATACATTTTTATCTACCAGAACACTGTTAGGATAATTAATAACAATATGGGGAAATTTGTCTGTGACCTGTTTCATCATTAGGACTTCTTTGGACTCATGTTTCTGTTGATGTAAGCTACACATGTGAATGAAGTGGAGGGACACTGAATATATATATATATATATATATATATATATATATATATATAAAAACACTTTCATGCTTCAATTGATCTCCAGTGTGACATCAGTTGAAGCATGAAACTGACAATCATCATGCATTGTTGATTTCTATGTCCACACTATATATATATATATATATATATATATATATATATATATATATATATGACTAAGGCTATAAACACATATATGCACATATATATATATATATATATATATATATATATATATATATATATATATATATATATATATATATATATATGAATAAAAGACAGACCACGTTAAGATTCCATGTAATAAGCTATTTCACCATAACCCCTTTAACAGGGTTCTGGATCATCAGACTTTACTTCCAAAAGCTGAGAAGAATGAAAAGAAAATTCACACGTTTTTTACGGACCTCATCAAGTATATACAAAGTTAACGAAGAAGGAGGAAGTGAGGTGGGAGAGAGGATATGAGTGTGTCATATGTATCATTTTAGTTTCCTATTTTGACCCCAGTGTGTCGGCTGGATGTTGCTCAAATCTAACGTCTCGTCTCTCTAGATAAAGGTGGTTAAGGGTGGGTGATAAGGGCTACATTAAGGAAGACGTTACAACAGCCCCAATAAATTACACAACAGGTTTCATTCAAATTCCTAGACGCTGTCAGTTCGCGTTACTTTAACGTGCATATTTGGGAGGTTAAGGTTTGATAAATATCTAAAATTTTAAAAACAATTTACGAAGAAATTAATTTGAAATTCGGTGGAGTTTTGGGTATTTCCTATGAAGCAGTCGATTGGAAATATCCATAGACAGAACATTGAAAGAGTAATCCAATTTATATTTAGTACTTTTTCCACTAAAGCTTTTATCTTATAGCTTGTTAGGTTGACATTTATTCGTTTGATTTTTGTTCATTAAGTAAACCTGTGATTGTTTTTGATTTTTGTTCATTAAGTAAACTCGTGGTTGTTTTTAGGCCCTTCTTTTATATTTTCTTATCTACACATGTCTTAAACCCCTATTTGTAACCACATACCTATATCGTCTTATATGCCTATGAGTTCCTATATACACCTACACACACATTCCAAATATGCACGTTAAAGTAACGCGAACTGACAGCGTCTAGGAATTTGAATGAAACCTGTCGTAATTTATTGGGTAATTTATTAGAGACGAGGCTAGATTTGAGCAACATCCAGCTGACACACTGGGGTCAAAATAGGAAACTAAAATGATACATATGACACACTCATATCCTCTCTCCCACCTCACTTCCTCACTTCGTTAACTTTGCGTATACTTGATGAGGTCCGTAAAAAATGTGTGAATTTTCTTTTCATTCTTCATTTCAGCTTTTGGAAGTAAAGTCTGATGATCCAGAAATATGTTAAAGGGGTTATGGTGAAATAGCTTATTACATGGAATCTTAACGTGGTCTGTCTTTTATTCAAACATATATGCTCTGAATTTTACATTGAGCTCTCTGGATATCATCCTCCTCAGGTCTACCCATACGGATTACCTAAATTTGAATAAACTATATATATATAGTTGAACCAAAACATATCCTGAAGGTTGTGTTGAAGCCTGAAACAGACTGTCGTAAATTAAATTACTAATTTACTTTTTGTGTAAATGATTCATTGTAATATAAATTAAACTGTACCATGTAATTGATTTAAAAGAACTGATCTGATGTGCATACTTTCAGGATAACAAGTGAGATCTTGCTCTAATTAATAACTATTTTGTTCAGCCACGCTGACTGATAAATACCTACAACAAAAAAATTCTTCAATTGCCATATTAGTAAAAAATGCTCTCACTTAAATTTTTAAAAATTCAACCTTAGTGTTGCGACTACACACTCCACAAGTTTGTATCTGTTATCAATAACACACTTCAAAAAAACTTATTTCGATTTGCATTATATTTTTTCATCACGGATGCTACCTAAATTTTACCAAAAAGAAAATAGTTTCCATGCCTGATGATGACCAAAGGACCCACCAAAAGTACTTGTATATTTAAGGAAGACCTAATACAGTTCATAATTATAAAAAACAAGGATCATAACATTCATTGAGTGATTAGTGGGTTAATGCATTTTTAAAATTTACTTAGTGAATTCACCATTTTATCGCATTAACTTTACTGATTTACTTTTTGTATGAATGATTCATTGTAATATATATATATATATATAAAGAAATATAGTCTTAAGGTGTGCTATATTTATGGGATAAAGTGCTCAATATTAGAGATAGAGTGTGTGTAAATATAAAAGTGAACATAGAAGTCAACACTTAGAGGCTGTTTCATGCTAGACGCAATCATCAGGCCACAAGTGCTGTTTATTTTTTCTTGGCTATTTATATATATGGAACAGTGGTACATTGTGGGTAGTCTATTTTGGCGGCTATTTTATTATCTCAAAAAAATTCTTACAATCTAAAAAGGTTTTCTGGCTTTGAATAACCTGCATAGGGTTGATAATCTGTAAAAAAAAAAAAATCAATAAACCCTGAGCAAAATCTTAACCTCTTCAAGTTAAAGATCAATTATTATTTATCCTCCTTATCTTCACTTACTACCATCTCCTCTTTCACTCATATTACACCTTATTCTTGATAACCATTTTAACACCAACCCTCTATCTTCAGTGGCTCTTGAGCCTTGGGTTAACTTTAAAGAAAAAGTGAAGTATCTTGCTTTAAGCATTGCTGCTGCATTTACAATACATATAGTGCTTTAAAGACATTTGTTTTTGGCAGTTCTACTCAAAGTGGTGGTCCCAGTACAGGTATATGAACAATCAGTTACCTGTACATGGCCAGTGTCCAGACCATGCTAAGGAATCATTTGTAAAGATTAAGGTTATATAATTTTTGTTTTTGTCTTAATAAACTGCTTATTTTTTTTTATTGCTTTTTATGTTTTGATATTGAATTATTTTTTTGCAAAATAAATGGTGGATAAAAACTTTTATTATATTCATTATATATATCATTTCTGGTATAATTTAATTTTTTTTTTTTAAAGCAATTCACTCCAAGCAAGACACTAGTACCACTAGCATGCAAGGGGTTACAGAGGATTGAGAACAAGCATAAAGAGGCAGGTTTGAGGAAAGGATATAGAGAAGGACAGGGAACAAGCTTGGGGTATCAGATATTGATTAACTTTACACTTGAATATTTAAAGATTATAGTCCTTGGGGAAGCAAGTAAGGGGAAGCGAGTTCTACAGGCGGGAAGTGCGAGAGAAGATGCTGTTTGAAGAGACAGTTATATTTAACCATTTTGACAGTGAAAGGGTGGGACTGAGATGCCAGCCTAGTAGCTTGCTTAAATTCATGCAGTCTGGGAACCAGCAAAAATAGCTCATTGGAACAGTTGCCATGAAAATAGTTGTAGAAGAGACTGAGGGAAGCCATAGCACATCTGTGGGATAGTGATCAAGACCATGAAATATTACAGGTATGTGATACATTGAGAAAAAAAAATGTTGGTCTACCATATCAGATAGTTTGAGAAGCATTTGTTTATGAGATTTTAAAAATATTATGGTGGTAGTTATTTCTCTCTTTAAGTTTTGTGAAAGATTTACACCTTTGATAGAAAAGACAAGCTTATAAACATTATGGTTATATGTATATGTTATATATTGTTTTTTTGTTTTTTTTCACCTTAATTGCAAATGTTTTGTTTATTACATGGAAGAAATAAATGTAACTGTCTTATCCTTTTTTGCAGATTGGTTGATTCGGCAACAAACAATATTCGTACAACTTTTGCTCTTGGTGATATTTCTTATTGGTGTGGACATAAGGAGAATGATAGGTAAGTAATTACTGATCAACTCTGAATTGGTTAAGCATCTCATCTTGCAGGCTGTTCTTTCAGATAAACAAAATAGTCTTCGCTTCTCTAGGTCAGTGGCTGGTAAGTTAACAGTTATTGCTGAAAGGGTCTATCAAGCTTTAGATAAAAATATTGAAACTTTTTTATGTTGCTTTGGATACCTCAAAAGCATTTCACAAAGTAATGGTCATCTTCACAAGGTTAAAGGTTATGATATTTCTGATTTAATTTTTGAAGTGAACCAGCCATTCTTATTGAATTGTAAAATGGCAAGATGTAAGCATGAGTTCTATCTTAAATTTCTTTTCTTGCACTTCTCGCTTGTGTAAATCTCTTTCGGCTTCTTGCTTCCCAGCTTACGGCCCAATCACATTGAAACACAGGTTCCTGTAAGATCACCAAAGTCAAACCTGGTCAGTACCTAGATGGGTGATTGCTTGGGAATACCAGGTTCTGTAAGCTTGAATGTGTGGTTGATGTAATGGATAATCTCCTCCAGCTATGGGTTACTTAGTAAGACTTGTATCACTAAAGTTTTTCATTTCTTCACTTGGGTTTTGAAATTCTGACGATATTGCTAAATCTGCTGCTAGAAAAATTGGTTCACTGTGTCATGCTAGAAAATTTTTCTCACCTGAATCTGTTTTGCATCTTTACAAGTCTTCTATTCCTCTGTGCATTGAATATTATTATGTTACGAGGATGCATTTCTATAATAAGGGATTCCACTGAGTTCTACTTGTTATTACAAAAAAGTTTTCATTCATGAAGTAGTTGTAAAATAGAGAAATTAGAAATAGAATGTTTGGAAGATTCTAGATCATTCTAGTATATTTGAGAAAAATCTAGATGATTCGAGAAACATCTAGAAATATGCAAATTAGGTGTTAGCCCCTATAAAAATGGGATTTTGGAAAAGGGTTGTCAGTTGGTGAAAACAAATTGCTGTCAGTATCAACTCCAGCTTTTGATTCAAGGACTATTATATCCAGTCGAAAGAATCTCTATAAAAAGTTGCCGACCAACCAAAACCCAAAAGAGAATTTCATGGGACAAATTTGGTAAATAGAATTTTGACTGATTTTCATTGACCAAACTAAAAATTAATATTTATTTACACACCTTTATGGATTTCCAAATATAGCACTTAGATTAACCGCTAGCCCTAAAGTGATAAAAGATATTTGACTCCCTTTCCTTCTCCCTCGTAACACTTCGCCAGTAACTCTGTGTTTTCTGTTTTGTAGGCCACAATTGTTTATCCTGTATATATTTTATGTTCTGTTTTAGTAAATTAAATATTTGTTTGTGATTTAGTTCTGAGTTGTGGTAAATCGTTTTTTTTTCCTTTGCTACAATTATCAACACGTAACAATTACCATGTCTGATCTGGTCTGGTACTTCTGCTATGTACCTAGACATTCTTGACAAAATTCAAAGAAGAATCTGCAATGTTATCAGTCCTGACTTGGTATCTCAACTTCAGTCACTTTTCCACCACTGTAACTGTAATAGGAGTGACAGTGACTTACCAGAAGCAAAGCGAATTCGTTGCCTCGCGTGTCGAACCATTCTCTGAGAGTCGGTTGCGCGTGCGCCTACTGCCATTTTTATGCAGCAGACTTATTTGCATAAGAGAACCACGCTACCGATTAAAAACCCGGCGAGTGGACGTGGGAAGCCACTGCTTTTCTAGGCTTCGGTGAGACTAGACTAGACGGATTGTAGGCAGAAAGCGACAGCAATTTCTGGACATACGACAAGCAAATTTAGCGAACATGGACAGCCGGATTGATTTAAAAATAATTCCCGAGTTTGACGGGACTGGATCTGTGATTGAATGGCTCAAGAAATTGGAATTGGTGTGCGACCTATCGGGAGTGAAGCGGCTTGATCGTGTCATCCCTCTTCGCTTAACCAGGGGAGCATTCGCGGTTTACCAGCAACTATCTCACGGAAGAGAAATCGGACGTGGCTCGAATCAAGGGAGCATTGATGACAGCATTTGCCCCTGATAAATTCACGGCATACAAACAATTGAGGCACGTATATTGCGTCGGGTGAGACCGTAGATGTATATTTGGCTGATCTACGGAAGCTCTCCGTCCTTTTTTGGAGGGGTGCCAGACAGTGCGATGGCATGCGTGTTCATGCGGGGCTTCCTGATCCTGTGAAAAGGCTCCTGCGGTCCTCGGCCAGTCGGCGGATGATATGTCTCTCGAGGGAGCTATTGGCCCGAGCTCGGGCAATCATAAAGGACGAGACAGCAGAGAGGGAACCAGTCGTCGCTGCGGTGCAGCCCTCCCAGACTCTCCGTTCTTCTCCAGACATGGGCCCACTTGTCACATGCTATGAATGTAATGGGCCCAATCACTTTGCGAGGGACTGCATGAAGAGGCAAAGGGCAACTAACGCACGTTGCTATCGATGCAACAAGACCGGTCATCTGGCCAAAAATTGTCCGGGAAACGGAGGCGGGGACGAGACTTCAGCACCGGTCCACTCCCCAAACAGCAAGTAAACTCGGTGCTACCCATCATTACTGTGTGTGTTGACGGCACATCATGCTCGGCTCTCCTTGACTCTGGGTGCTCACGGTCAATCTTGAGCGCGAGTTTATGTCAGTCTTGGTGAAGCAGGGTATGGCGGTATCTACATTAACGAGCCCGCAGGCTTGCTGTGGAAGGGCACTGTCAGAATTTGCACAGCAACTGGTAATACTGCTACAATCGATGTGCTGGTTATGCGAGGGAAGCCCCTGGATTCGACCTGTTGCTTGGCATCGACACCATTAAGGCACTTTCGGTGGAGTTCGCATCACGAAGCATGGAAGCGTGGAGTTTGAAAAACCACTGGTCCGTCTGTGCAGCGATTCGTATCAGCGAAGCCGATTTCAGTGCGAAATTCAATGAACGGCAGGGAGTTTGGGTGCAGCCTGGAAGTGGTCGGCAGGTCATGCACCAGGGAAACTTCAGAATCGGATCTCTAAGTATCCAGTATCCACCGAGATGAGAGAGGAGTATGAGCATGAATTACAAACATGGATGGACAATGGTTGGTTGGTGCCATACAGTAACAAGGAGTTTGGCCCGCCCAAGGGACTGATACCACTGATGGCCGTGCTGCAGACCAACAAGCATAAGGTGCGTCCTGTGATGGACTATAGGGAACTAAATACCTACGTTGAAACATTCACAGGTGCCGCGGATGTTTGCACAGAAAAACTGCAAGACTGGAGACAGCAGGGTGCAAACGTATCCATTCTGGACCTCAGGAAACATATCTACAGATCCGTGTTGAAAAATCCCTGTGGCCATATCAAACAGTTGTGTTTAAAGGAAGCGATATTGTTTGACCAGGCTGGGGTTCGGCCTGAATGTGGCGCCCCTGCGCCCAGAATGTCGAGCTGTGCTTAATGCTGTGTTAGCACAGAATGAAACTATAAATAGAGCAACGTCTGCATATATTGATGATATATATATCAACGAGGATGTGGCGTGCGAGTGGCGAATCTGTGAGGAAACATCTCGATGCTCCTCGTTTGATAACGGACTGGCACAGCAAGGATCCAGGAGCTAGGCGTGTGTGGGTGGGTGGACGCGAGTTCGCTGGCTGTCGGAGTGGCGCTCGAGGCTAAAGGGAGCCATCATCGAGGGCGCATGCTGGCTACGGCCGATAAAAAACACCCAACATATCAATGTGGCTGAACTGGATGCCGTACTGAAGGGAATCAACCTCGTGCTAAAATGGCAGGCTACGGTATTACATGTGAACACAGACTCCCTCTGCATGTACCATTGGGTGACTAATGCCCTTACGGGAAAGTCTCGGCTGAACACCAAGGCCGCTAGCGAGATGCTCATAAGGTGACGACTTGAACCTCTAACGTCTCTTGTGAAAGAGTATAAACTTTCTGTTGACATAGCGCTAGTTAGATCCGACCAGAACCGAGCTGACTTGCTGACTAGAGTTCCCCAGAGGTGGTTCAACAATGTGAAGGAATTCGAACCTGTTCAACCAGTATGTGCTTCTGCTGTAGGAAACCTGAGCCTTGCTCAGTTAACTGAGATTCATCGACACAGTGGGCACCCTGGAGTTAAACGGACACTATATTTCACACGTAGGATCAACCCGTCCGTGTCGAAAGCAGCAGTAAGATCGGTCGTTCAAAGTTGTGAACAGTGTCAGTCAATAGATCCAGCTTCTGTGCGATGGCAGAAGGGAGAGCTCAGTGTGCGTGAAACTTGGAGTCATCTGGGAATGGACATTACACACTATAACGGTCGCCATTTTTGACTCTGATCGATTGCGGCCCCACACGGTTTTTCGATCTGGCGACCACTAGTTGACAAGGCGCTGCACACGTAATCCGGCAATTGGAGTCGGTGTTTTTCGAACATGGTGCCCCGGTAGAAATCCTGGCTGATAATGACACTGCATTCCGCAGTCAGCAATTCAAACAATTCATGGAAGAATGGGGCGTCCGATTTCGACCGCGCTGCGCGTACAAACCATCTGGAAATGGTATTGTAGAGAGGTGTCATCAGACAGTCAAACCGATTGCTGCGCGAAAGAGCTGCTCTATTATGGAGGCCGTGTATTGGTATAACATTACACCCAGGGATGATGTGCCTGCCTCTTCTGCGCCTGCCAATCTGCTGCATTCGTACAAAATTTGAATAAAAGGAATTGACATTGTGCACTCGCCTAACCGGGCGACTTCGACTCTGTATAAAGAAGGAGATGCAGTTTGGGTAAAAAATCCGCACGGACACTGCACGTCAAAGTTTGTGAAAGGTCGTGTCATGGGAATAAACAGTCCGCAGTCGGTAGTCATCGACGGGATACTGCGACACGTGGGAGATGTACGTCCACGGCTCACTTCATTGTTACCAACGGATGATGGTGGTGACACAACGTCAGGGAGTAATGAATGGCAAGAACCAAGCTCCAGTGCAAGCAGCAGCGACACCTCATCTGAAAGCGAGAAAGAAGTAGACTTGAACCTTAATGATCCCCTGGAATATGATTCAGACCAGGACACATCTGACGATTCAGCCGGGGAGGAAGTCATGGTTATACCACCGCGAAGAAGTGCAAGGGTGAAACGACCAGCCCCTGACTGTCACTTATGTGATCATACGATCAGGGGCGAGTGTAATAGGAGTGACAGTGACTTACCAGGAGCAAAGCGAATTCGTTGCCTCGCATGTCGAACCATTCTCTGAGAGTCGGTCGCGCGTACGCTTTTACTGCCATTTTATGCAGCAGACTTATTTGCACAAAGAGAACCACGCTACCGATTAAAAACCCGGCGAGTGGACGTGGGAGGCCACTGCTTTTCTAGGCTTCGGCGAGACTAGACTAGACGGATTGCAGACAGAAAGCGACAGCAATTTCTGGACATACGACATATCTGGACATTAACTGTAACATATCTTCCTGGTGCCTTTTTGCTAATATTTTCATGGAAATTGCCCCAATGAACTTCCTTTTTGGTACCTCAGCTACACAAATTTATGTGCAATACTAGATTGGCAGTTAGGTCTCATTTTACTGTTCAAATTGCTAAATGTAACTGTGAATTCTATTCTCATAGTTTCTTCTGTCACACTTCTCACCTGTTGAATTCTATCCTGGCTTCTTGCTTTCCTATCAACTATGATCTTCAAAAATTTAAATGCATCATTAGTTGTCATCTGTCATTATGAATGCTGTTTTTTTTATTGTACTTTTTCCTTAATAATGTTTTCTCAGTTTCTTTCACTCTCAGCAACCCCTTGCATCTTAGTGGCTTTATTGCTTTGATTTGGATGAAAAAAAGATACATTTTCTATAGATTTTGAACTGCTGTGTTGATTTTAACATATTTAACTGATACACCATTTAGCCTTTCTCAAGCATGCATTAGTCTTCAGAGTTCATTTAGTACTTTATTTTTTTTCTTTCCAGTGGGATTGAATGTGTTAGTATCAGTGTGAAAATAAGTGAGATTGTAACCTGCTTTTCTGGCTGATCCCTCTTCTAGGTTCATAATGTGTTATAGTGGAACACACCTATTCTATAGTTAATAGACTCTCCCACCTATAATAAGTAGGAGTAGTAAGAGTAACAAGGGAGTCAGTTCGGTTAGTCGAGGTCAGATGACAGTCGAATACTAAAGTATCAACGACCACAACTAGATTACTCTGCGTTATACCTATTATATCAAGTGCCTAACGTTTTGTAGGTCGTACCTATTTTAGGACCAATTTAGTACAAAATACAAGCCTCCACTGTGAAATCACTCCATAACATAATGCCATAAACTCAAAACACTATAACCTGGTTGGTGTGTTATGTTGCTTAAATTGTTATCTGTACTGGTTTCTATATGATGCTAAAAAAGGGCTTTTATTAATTTTTTCATAAACATATATTAGTTTTCTTTCGTTTTACAAACTTTCCATCTCTTTTGACTTCCTTTCAGAATAAACAGATCAAGATGAAATATACAGAATAAATTTTAGTATTTTCTTTCAACAGATCATAACAGTTACTGATATTACTATTCTATAAAAGCCAAGACAAATTTGAATAGGTAATAAGCCAAATGTTGACAGTTTGAAATACCTGAAATAAAAACATTTTTAGGGCTCCATAAATGTTACAACTTTTTTGATGAATTTATTATTTTCGTTACCAAAACTTGGAATTCAAAATGACCAATTGGAATATTCATAGGGTCCTTAGAGTTTAAAGTCGCTCTTTCTCTTTTTGGTTGATTATTTTTCGACATTGGCCAAGTGTTACAAAAAGTAACTAAAATCTTATATGTTTTTTTTTTAATTGTTACATGCTTGTGTATCATGCTCCCTGTTTGCTGATTCTGTGTGTGTGTTTTTTTTTGGTGGGGGGGGGGGATTCCTATTATTGTTTGAACTTAATTTTCACTGCAAACTTGAATTTTGTTTTATTGTATTGTTATTGGTTTTTCCACTAATCTTTTAGATTAAGCGATGTTAATGTAAATGAGGGATAGATAAATTTATGCATGTGTGTCCATGCATGTATGTGTAAGTACATTTATATGTAGACGTGTGGGTGTATATACATGTATAGGAATTTTCGTGGAATTTCGTTTGCTTAAGCATATAAGGTAAATGTAAAATTAAAGATTTATCTGATAGTGAGAATAGCAAATATTTTTTTTATTTATTAGAAACACTTCTATTAATGTTAATTTAGACTAATCTTTGGTGAAGCATAAGTGCTAGTAAAGTTAGATAATAGATTTGAGTTGGGTACACAGGTGCGTTTAGTTAAAGAGTTAGTAATCTTATGGGATTAGCAATTTAAAACATATGAAACGTTTGGATTAAACTATTCAAGAAACAGACCAGCTTACTGAGCTAGGAATCCATGAGAAGTAATTTGAATCAAAACCGGAGGAAGTAAAAAGACACCAGTACATAGGAGGGGAGTGTGAAAAGCCTTTTTTTCTTTAGCTGATGCTGACAGACATATTTCAATAAGAATGGTCTAACTCTTGGCTATGTCAGTTGATATGATTTTTTTTTTTTTTGCAATGTCAAGGTGCATAGCACAACGCTTTCAAGTCAGGTCAAGGTTGCTCTTTGAGTCGTTATGATGCAAAATCAGAAATCGGTGATGAGGACAGTATATCACTGAAGACCACCCTTGATGCATCTAAAATGTATTATGTAACTGATTACCAAATTAATGGGAGCAACTGAAATGAGGGTGGTAAGGATGATTTGGAGGGTCATTTAGAATACAAAAAATGTTAAATGTAAAAATAAGGGCAAGTATATTTACATCACAATTTAATGTTAGATATTGCAGTTTTTAAATCAGAATCCCACTTGAGAGTATTTCGACTGGAACTGAGAGACTTCTTCATTTAATAAAATTAAATGTGGGAAAATTTTGTCATGAACTCCAGATCCATTTGGTTGGATCTTTCATTTTCTTCAATCAATGTCAGAAATATCAAATTTTCCTGATTATTATAAGTAAAAATAAATAAAATTTATTGGCTAAAACTATATGAAAAAAATATTTCTGCTTCGAAGGTCACCAGGCAAAAAAAAAAAATTATGTTCAGGGTCACAGCCCAAAATGTTTGGTAAACACAATTCATAAGACTATTTTGTAACATTAAAAAAAATAAGGATGTTAGTTTTTTGATTTGCTAATTTTTCTTTTTCTTTGCAGACTTCTTGGTTTCATTACGGTGAACAGGGAACAAGGTTCCTCTTCATACACTTGCCATGTGTTTGAGTCGAATACTCCTGCATCTGAAGTAAGTTTCGTTTATTATTTGTAAACATATTCTTGTTAAATGCTATTAATTTTTGATTAATGACTTATCCTTTCAGGACATGGGTGAATGATTGTCCTCCGCATCTTCCTTTCATTTTTTGCTCTAATGTTTAAACCTTTATTATTCTTTTTGTCTTTGTGATTTTTATTCTGTAATTCATTTACTTGAACTTGTCAAATAGATTACTCACTGTTTTCCACTGCTATTTTTTGCCTTCAATATGCCCTGTGAGTGTTAAATTCTCCAGGCCTTTTTTATTATATGTCGATCATGGCTCGCTCTCCACACTTTTCTTTCTTGCTCTAAGTAATTCTTATACTTTGATGATCCCTCTTTGTGGTTTTTGTTCTTCCATCTACTTACTCAAACATCAAATAAGTTACTGTTTTCCTCATCTTTGTTGTCATATTCACAACATTTGGGCTGTTGTACACTCTAGCCTTCTTCAGGTGATTGGAATTTCAAACTGAACCCTTTATTTCATCCACTGGGGTAGATTGTTCTAGTTCCACATGTCATGCCTCTTCTGGATGTCTCAGTATCAGTTAACTCCCTTTAACTCAACTTTCTATTTTGTTCACTCCAGCTGTAGCCAGGTAGTGAACTCACATCTCTTTGGAAGTCACTGGATTCAACCAAAGCTTTTATCCACTGGGCCATGAGTCCTGAAGAAGGTTGCAGCCTACAACAATGTACCAGCATTCTTGCTGATCTCAAGCATTGATATAGACCAGCACTCGGATATACCCTATTTCCAGTTTTGTTGCCACTTGATCTCAGAAAATCCTTTTACTTACAATTTCACTTCAGTTAAAGTGGATGCCACTAAGAAGACTGGACTTCAGAAGCTTCTATTTGCTGGTCCGTTAAAGAGAAACACTTGAGATTGAGATAAAACTACCTTTTCTCCTTCTGTTTTAATGTCCATAGTATCACAAATAGTCTGCATGTAAGTAATGTAAATAAATCCTGGCAGGCCTCCTAGTTCTCTTAGGATTGTCTTGCTGTATATGTTGAATAATTCCAGTGAGAAAACATATCCTTGTCTTACTCTTCTTTCTATTTTTGCATTTCCACTGAACTCATTCTTGACCTGGATACAGACTGTTTGTTCCCAGTAGAGCTTGTAGATTACTTGAATATTTCTGATGTAAATAAAAATTTTCTAGTATTTCAAGTAGGTTCATCAAATGCCTTTGTGTAATCTGTTATGATACATAGGTACAGATTATTATCTACAACAGTTATTTGCTCTAATAGCATTCTGATCATGAAAATTACATTTCTTGTTTCAGTTTTTTTGAATGACACATTGTTTTTGTTCTAGTTTCCCATCTAAAGAGCTCAGCTGCTTAGAATCTTAAATAATAATTTATTCAAGTGGATCATCAAACTGATTGTTTGATGGAGTTTGTATTTATTTGTACTTGATTTCTTTGTCAACAAATTATCTGATTGATATAATGAGGTTATTTTGCCACTCAAAAATGAATAATGGTTGACAATGATTCATCTAATAAAAACTGAAGAGAATATTTTCTTGTTAAGTAGTAAATTTTTCTTTGCCCCCCATTTAAGTAACAGCTATAGATTAGTTTCATATATTAGTGATGTTAGTAGCAGCTATAGGTTAGTTTCATAAGTTACTAAATTTAGTAACAGCTATAGGTTAGTTTCAAATGTTAGTAATGTTAGTAGCCTCTATAGGTTAGTTTCAAATGTTAGTAATATTAGTAGCCTCTATAGGTTAGTTTCAAATGTTAGTAATATTAGTAGCCTCTATAGGTTAGTTTCAAATGTTAGTAATATTAGTAGCCTTTATAGGTTAGTTTCAAATGTTAGTAATATTAGTAGCCTCTATATGTTAGTTTCAAATGTTAGTAATATTAGTAGCCTCTATAGGTTAGTTTCATATGTTAGTAATGTTAGTAGCAGCTATAGGTTAGTTTCATATGTTAGTAATGTTAGTAGCAGCTATAGGTTAGTTTCATATGTTAGTAATGTTAGTAGCAGCTATAGGTTAGTTTCATATGTTAGTAATGTTAGTAGCAGCTATAGGTTAGTTTCATATGTTAGTAATGTTAGTAGCAGCTATAGGTTAGTTTCATATGTTAGTAATGTTAGTAGCAGCTATAGGTTAGTTTCAAATGTTAGTAATAGTAGCAGCTATAGGTTAGTTTTGTATAGAATCTGCTGCTTTTGTTTATGACACTTGTAAAGTTTCTGAGATAAAAATTAACTTTAATGAGTTTTTCCCAATTATTTCTGCTGAACCAAGAATGAATATCAGATATACAATTTGAATAGGAAATTATTATTTTTTTTCTTGATCCTATTTATAATTATTGCATTATTTTTTTTTTTCACGGTATGATTCCAATCAAGTCAGTAAATCAACTAAACCAGAAGGGGTTACTGAATGTGGAAGAATTAGGAACAGAAGCAATAATTGTTGTGAATTAAATAATACTCCCCCTCCGGTGACTATATGAACTAGTCCATTACTATAAAGAGCACCAGGTCAGAGCTAAAACTGGTAACCATTTGGAGTCAGTCTTCAGACTAACTAATACAGGTGTCATGGCAAGTAGCTAAAGCATTATGTATAGATAATCCTTATATGAAGTATGTTATATAAGTAAGATTGTGTTATAAAAATAGCCATAGAATTGTGGTGTTATAATAGTAACCACAAGGGATTTGAAACTCAGGATTTGTAACCGTTGTGTCAAGGATTTGGAACTCTTATGATTATGTATTAACAACAAAAGGGTTACCAGTGACAAAGACAATAATGTGTGTAACAAATGAACGTGGAAACTTTTTGGTCCAAAGTATGTGTAGTGAGTGAATATGAATACGTACGTGTGTGTGTGTATTGTTAATGCGTTTCCCAAAAGGGAATGTGTTATAATCATGTTCTTCCATGAGAAATTTACATGTTGATGTAAAAAGTAAGAAGTGAGCTGTGAATAATTATCTGGAGTATTTATGGTGCCAGAGAACATCCCCCTATGAGCAGTTTTGAAAATTAGGAGGAGGTAACCTGACAAGGTGATTTATTACCCCTTACTGAAAAATTTCAACCCAATTTCCTTACATGCAGGCTTTGTTTCTCATTCCGACATGAAGATGCCTACCATACTGAGGTGAAACATGTTTAAACAAACTTTTCTACTTTGTCACATTATATCCACAGATTTGTAAGTGCTGCTATAAAAATTGGTGATCTCCAAAATAAGATATTTAAATCAACAGTGAGTATTTGAGTAGATTACAAAAATATTAATAAATATGTTGTAGTTGTTTAAAAATTGTTTTATAACTTTTGATAATAATTGGTGATTCTTTTTTTTTTTTTAACATCTTCAAAAATATTAAACAGAATGCCACTCGATAAAAACTCAGATCATTTGCCATTTGAGGCTTATGACTACATCACATTGAAACACTGGTTCCTGTATGATCACTGAAGTTAAGCAACATCAAGCCTGGTCAGTACCTAGATGGGTGACTGCTTGCGAATACCAGGTGCTGTAATCTTGGATATGCAGGTAGTGTAATGGATGACGACTTGAAATTGGAAATTAGAGAGCCGAGTTTGAATTCCAGTCGGGTTCGTTATATTCACTTACAGGCAAATACCTTTGGGAAAGGTATGAATACACCTCTTTCTCCCCAGCTATGGGTTAATTAAAAACATGTATCATTAAAACCATTATTATCACACAAAAAAAATTGCATACAAAATATTTAAATTTCAGTATTAAATAACCCATAGAGGTGTTGATATGCCACTAAACAAAATCAACCAATTATTTTCTATTTGTCTTTCAGATTTGTCAGATTATAGGAACAGCAAAAACAATGGCTTTTGAAGCTCTTATGGTAAGTAGAAATTTTTTTTTCATTTGCTATTTAAACTCTCTTGTTTTCTTTTTTGAAAAATCTGCAATATTATTGGTCTTGACATGGCATCTGGGCTTCAGTCACTTTCCCATTACTGTACATAGTTATCCTGTGCCTTTTCTATAAATACTTTCATGGTAATTGTTGTGATGAACTCTTCGCTATGGTACCTAGATTTTATGAATTTAAGTACGGTACTAGTTTGGCAAATTTTCTTCTGGCTTTCCATTTAAGTTTGATCTTCAAAAATTTAAATGTAATGTCAATTGCTATCTGCTGTCTTCCCCATTACTCTTCTACTGATTCCTTAAAAATGTTTTTGTTTTCTAATTCTTTCACACTCAGTAACTCCTTGTGTCTTAGTGGATTTACTGCCTTGCTTGGGCTGATTTCAAAAAAAAAAAAAAATCTGCAAGCTTTGATGTGAAAAAAAGTTTTGAAATCTTAAATCTGGTTTTCACAAGCAGTGATCAAAATGGTAATAATCCTTTGCTGCAAGGTCACATGAAAAATGGTGGGTGGTGTAGAACAGACCAACTGATGTAATAGAATAACCTGTCACCCACATGAGTGACTACACTATAGGTAGTAACTACCTATAAGTATCTGTAAGTCAATGGACTACGGAGACTAGCTGGGATCTGTTCCAGATAGACAGTCGAACTCTCTGCCCAAAGGCAGAGAGGAACCTGGATGAGGCTCTGCTGAAGGGCAGTCTCGTTCAGGGAGGTAGACTGCCCCTGAAACCATTTATACGAGTTCAAAAGGGAATATTTTTGGCCGAGTCCACATTAAACCGGCCTTGTGCCACATCCAACCCTCGTGCGGGTGTAGCTAAATATACTAGCTGTGATCTGTTGAGTACGACTCAGACTTACGCGAGAACTATCGACCTTCCAATAATAGCACTCACTACTGGATTGACTTGCGACAACCTTGTGCATAACTGTTACCTTTATTCTTATTGTATTGGTTTTGTACAATAAACATTTACTTATTTTATCCACCTTGTTTTTCAAGTATATATTCCAATTAGCATGGAATATAACACCAACCAAGTCCCAAAATTGTTTCTCGTCTTATTCTTGCTGTATGCAACCTTGCGTTACCATGTAGGGGAACAATATTTTCCCTATTGATGAGCACAGTGTGTTTCTTGATCAAAACTTATATCGACATGTTGTAGCTGCTGGACAGAAAAATGTGCATTAGTGTTTCATTGCATTTTAAGAATTTTAAATAAATAGTACCCCAATGATCCCTTCACATTACTTTTCTTCCATGGAGCTCAGTTTATGGGATCAGTTATGGAGATTTATCCTTGTTGATCCACTGCTTTTTTGTTGAATATTGTCATATGTAACATACTTTTCATCATCTACTGCATTCTTTTTCTCAGTTGCAATATCCTTATTGTTAATTTCACTCAAAGTAGTTTTCAGTTGTCATAGCAGGATATGACAACACAACTATGAAATTCAAACACACTATTGTTCAGATCTCAGAGCCACCTTCAGTGGTAGGATAAACTTTTTTTTTTGTACAGCAAATGAAGTCACATGCAGAATTATTAATATTCATGTATATACAAGAAATATAGAAATCTTGTTATAGAAATATATATTATTATATATATTAAATATTATAAATATAATAATATATAATTATAAATATATTATAAATTATAAATATATAATTATAAATATATAAATTATAAATATATAAATTATAAATATATAATTATAAATATATAAATTATAATATATAACTATAGATATAATAGATTAATATATTATATATATTAAATATTGTTATAGAAATATTGTTATAAATATTCACGGATATATTATTATTATTAATATTCAGTTGTAGAATAAACCTTTTTTTGTACATCAAATGAAATCGCATGAAGAATGATAAAAGTTAAAGAAGAATTAGGATGATACATTGATCATTACAATTGGTTAAAAAAAAACGGAAATTACTTATGACTCAACCTAATATTTAGTATTGTTTATTGATTATTTAATGAAATAACTGCATCAGAATTTTGCTTTGTTTTATTCAGAAAAGGAATATGGAAAAGAAAAAGAAGCAAGAAAATGTAAGTTTATCTTTTAATTCTCCGTAAATATTATAGGAACTAGAAATACCTGTGAAAATTCCACTTTCTAATGCATCACAATTCTTAATTTAATGATTAAATAAGCTCTTTGTGAGTTTTATGATTATAAAATACCTGTTGAAATTCCCCTGTTGGATTGTTAATTATGTGAGCTTGATAACTTTAACAAAATATTTCAATAATGATCATAAATATGAATGCAGGTCATTAGTTAAAGAATTAAGGGGGTACAAATATTATTTAAAGAATTAAGAGGGTGCAAATATTATTTAAAGAATTAAGAGGGTACAAATATTGTTTAAAGAATTAAGGGCTTACAAATATTGTTTAAAAAAATTATTAAGGGGGTACAAATATTATTTAAAGAATTAAGTACAAATGAAAAGATGAAAAATTGATAAAGTTTACCATTTCACTGAAGCAAATGGTGAATTCTTGTATGTAACCAATTTTTCATCAATTTTAACTGCACACACTTAATAGTTTCTGTATCTAAATCTTTATTTGTTCTTTTAATGTTCAATATATCCCAATAATTGATATATGAAGGTCTCCAAGGACATTGAAGCACAAAATGGTTGATGTGGCTTAGCATATTAAGCTACTTTATCATGGATTAGTCAGTTATTAGTAATTGAAACTTATTATAAGTTAAAAATTCAATAAAATATGATCTTTTAAAACCATTTTGTACAATTATTTTTTAATAAAACAAAATTTAAAAAAAAGAAATGTTTCATAACAAGTTGAATAATTCTGACTTTTTGTTTAAGCAATGTAATCTTTTTCTTTGTATCTTTGAACTTGCCAACATAATGGTTTGACTAATTCATACTACAAAAAATAAATAAAATGTTATTTGGTAAAAGAGAAGAATTCATGGCTTAATGAAGGGCATTTGTGCAAAAGTGAATGCAATAGATAAGTCAGGAATTTGTACTTGGCTTTCTGATTTTGCTTTCTGCACCAATAACCTTTATGCTCAGGGTCGATGCGTACAACCCCTAGGGGAGGGAAAACTGATTGGGGGCCGCAAGCAATGTTTTGTGACCTTTGCTATCTTATTAACATTTTTTTCTACCTATATTGATATACATTACAAATTAAACTAAGAACAAAGGAAGAAAAATTTTAAAGGAAAAATTAAAGGATGAAAAATTTTTCCAGATTTTGACATCATTCAGGGGTCTTTTTTTTTTTTATCCAAATGTGTAAATTTGTTTAGCTCATGCTTAATCTCAAAAAAAAAAACACCATATAAAATTCACTATTTTCTTATCCGTAATGCTGAATCGTTTAAAATTATTCGACATCTTGACAAGAAAAATCTTGAGTTTATGTTAAAAATTGCCGCAAAAAATTGTTGATTTATTTAAGATGGAATGATCTATTATGACAGGTCTCTAATTTGGATTTAGATATCTTGTATTTATTTTCAATTTTTCTAGTCAAATTGTTCACTTATCTTGCATACAATCCATTATTGTACATAATTAGGTTACAAAAAAATTTGTATTTTATATGAATACTATATGAAAATTGAGATGTAGTAGAGCAGGTGTGTGTGGGGGGGAGTCTTATTGATTCGGAGTGGGACATACCCTTGCACCAGCCCTGCTTATGCTACCTGTATATGAAGCTTATTATTTCCTGCAGTTGACATATTTTGTAAATTCATAATTATTTGTAATTTATAAAGAAAGTAGAAATGGGAACTTTGGTAAATTTTTTTTTTTTTTTTTTTTTATTAAAATCTATTGCTGGAAATTTTATTATAAAAATGTATTTTTATAATTTCATTGTATTTTGACCTCAGTTTGGGGGTTCACTATTTGCCCATAGGTGGGACCCTAACAGGTGCTACCACCCTGGGTCTTCCAAAAATGTAATATTTTGTTAATTAGAAACCTCCACAAAAATGCAAAACCTAATGTTTAAAATGATTTTTAAAAAATGAAAAATCTTTCTTAAAACTTTTAGTTTTAATTTCAAGCTAATAGATTAAATTTAATATTTCTAATCAAAATACTTTGCTGTATTTCAAAAAAAGTTTTTTTTGTTTTTCTATCATAGCTGATTAGCACCTTTTTTTGTAGTCTTTCATTGCAATGTAATTTTATTTATGAAAAACTCTCAAAAATAGCATATACAGTATTTTCTGACTTACAAGACACTGCAGCTTGAAAGACGTACCCTAATATTGGAAAGAAATTTCTTAAAAAAAAAAGTCATTCTCATACAACAATATATTCACTGTGTGTCCCTTACGTACTGGCGCCATGTATTGTTTACATTAATCACTCATCCGATTTTGTTTGTATGGCAATGACATACTAGTCAAGAGCAGAAGAGTTCCTACTGCTGCTAGTAAACAGAAAATGTTTAAGCATGTGGCTCGGCTCCAGGAAATTTTATAGCCTTGGAAATACTTGTAACAGCTAAGTATTGAGGTTACATCGTATAAAAGGCTGAATTAGATAGTTAACATTATAGTGTAATGACTCAACATATAAATCCATGTCTCTATCAGTCAAGCCAATCAGGTGACTGTCCAAGCTTACTTGAGCCTGGATGTTGCCTTACATTCATCTTGGAAGATGCACACGTATTTTTCAGGGTATTTTTTAGGAAAAAAAGTGTCTTGTAAGATGGAAAATACAGTACTTTTTTTAAACTTTATTTGAGGAATATTAGCTGATTTAAAGCATAATTAGTCTGATTTGAAACAAATATGATTTACTTTAAGTTTAAAATATTGCAGAAATGCATTTTTTAACCCGACATTAGTTGTGTCAACATGTTGACAGCCTGATGACAGGTCTAATGTTGTCCTAAGGAGACTTCATCTGTAAAACATAATTTGAGAAAATGATACAAGTGTCTTTTTTATATAATTTTTAAATACTCAGTAATCTTAAAAATTGAAGAAAATGTTCTCTTTAATCTAATGTTTTATTGAATTTTAGTTATGTCGACTTTAAATTTACTATAATTATTGCTTTTATTTTCTGATAATGTTGTGTATGGACACCCATATTTACAAAAATTGGCATATTTATGCAAATACAAAAAAATTCAAAATTCTTTTTAAAATATTGGTGTATAATGGTTTGTATTAAGCTTTTGCATTTATTAGTGAATATAGTTTTCATTTAATAATAATGTCATGTAAAAGTTTGGAATTAATACAGAATTTTAAAAGATTTAAAACATAATAAATTTTTAAATTTAGAATTTTAAAAAAAATGAAAAACAATTCTTGTAAAAATTAATTATTAATACAATTCAGAGCAGGATTTTGGTAAGTGGTGTTTCTTTTTGACAAAAACAAATTGATGATTTAAATTCTCTAAGTAGTCCTCCTTTTAATTAATATAAATTTTAAATTTTGAATTTAAATTTTTTAATTAATATAAATTTTAATTAATATAAATATGAAATGGCTGAAATTTTAATTTCTTGAAATTACATAAGATTAAGTGGGCATAAAAGATGTAAAAAAAATCTTTTTATCAATATTTTCAAAAAAAAAAAATATTTAAAAAATAATTTCATTTGTGAATAAATTCTGAAAATTTCAATAAAATTCTACAATTATTTGATTTTTGCAAAAATTTCCAAAAGTGTGTTTTTCGCACAAAAAAGGACGCTAAACTAAGTTTTGGCTCAGCCACTGATGCAAGAAAAAAAGATTTTTAACCAAAAGTTTGAACATCTTAGAAAGGATTAAAAAATTTAATAAATAATCAAAAAATACTTTGGTCTTTCCTCTTAATAATAACATAAACATTTTGACAATAAAACTTTGTTTTTATCAAATTTGTGGCCTTTTTTTCTTCATGGTACAGTCTTTTTTTAGAAAATCTTTCGAGCTACCTAACATGTTTCTTTTACTAACAAACAATGTCATTTATAAATTAGGTTTTTATCATCAGCATTTTTTTTTTTATTCCAGCAGCTTTTGTTGAGTAATATTTCCAAATTAGATAACAAGAGTCCTGGAACTGACTCTCCTCCTGGCATTACTCCTGATGGTAAATATTTAATACTCACAGATGTTCATGTGTCATCTACGGAGTCTGAACAAGATGTCTTTGATGGAGCCTCTGCAGTAGCAGCGGCGGCGGCAGCGGCAAGAAGTAAAAAAGAATCAGAAGCATAACACCACAAATTTTGAATCTGGTTTGGCGTGGGGGGGGGGAGGAAAAAAAACAAAAAAATATAATAATGAAGCTCTGTCCTGTTTTGTGTGTATGCATGTGTGCATGTAGTCTAGAATATACAACTCCTATAATATAAAGGCAGGTTTGCTGATTTTAAAATGTGTGTTACATTGAATAGTGAATAAATTGAAAAATTAACACTTAAAATATTTAGAAAGTCTACAAATGTAATCTGAAATAAGTGTGTGAATTTAATTCTGAAAGTAAATTTGATTTTATCTTGTTTTCTTAGAATTGGTCATTTCTGTTGTCTGTTACATTTCATGGGAATGTATTTTTCTTAAAATGAAATGCCACAAATGCTGAAGGCCATTTTATAGTCACAGTATCCTTGAAATTCTTTGAGGCAAAATGTGTTGACTAGTTGTAAAATATATGCTGAAATTCTAAGAAATGTTGCAGAAAATTCTTAAATTCGTGAATGTTCTGCCAAGTTATGGAGGTACACACTTTGAAGATGTTTTTTTTACTTTATTTTTATGCTTGGTGTACAGAAACACACCTCTCCATAAAATAATATTTTTCAAATTTTTTCTTTCATATTCCTGTCAAATAAGTTATCCATATAACTAGTATAACTTTTTTTTTTTAATTTTCTATATTTTAAAGAGGGTGGGGTGAGTCTTTAGTTTGTTATATAAATGAATTGTAAATTGATCTGCTATGAAAATGAGAAAAAAGCATGCTCAGACAATATGATAAAAGCATATTCTTTCTTAAAAAATTAAAATTTAAAAGTTAAAAATAAAGTTAATATTTATGTTAAAAATTTAAATAATATAAATATTAACTTTAACAAAATGGGTAAGAATAAAAATATACTTTAAATTTTAAAATACTGCTCACATACTAAAATTTCAAATAATTTCAAAACAATCATGAAATATGAATTTGAAGCATATTTTTACTTACCTAGATTATTATTATCTTATTAATTATTCCCTTACCTTTTTTTTTTTTTTTTTTGGTTTGTATAGAGGAATCCATTTACATACCAAACTGGATCCCACTTTTAAAATACAGAAAATCATTTTTTTTCTTGTGTATAATACAATAAATTTTGAGCAAAAATTAAGTGCAAAACAATGGCGGGGGTGGTGGGGGGGTTCATATTATACACAAGTCCACGTTTTCAGAAATTTTTACTCACATTAAAAACCCTCTAATTTGAAACGGCAATATTGCAAATATAGCACAATAGATAATTAAAAAGTAGACAGGTGTTGATAACAGTTGTTTACAAAAGGTATTTGATATGTCAGCCATATTTGTTCTTTGGGAATCAGCATAATTGAACGTATTTGTCTCAAAGAGAGGAAATTCACTGAAATTGATTTTTAAAAATCAATAAAGGGAATACACAAGATCTGTCAGATTTTGATAACATTAATGTTACAATAAATCATTTTTCCCTGAAAATTCAAAAATAAGTTTTAAAACAGAAATTAGAAGAAACACACAATGGCTAACATTCTGTTCATTAATATTATGACAAATATTTTACTGATATATATATATATATATATATATATATACACACACACACACACATACATATGTGTGCAAACATATAGAAAAATAGGAAAGAACACGTTAGATAAATAATCTGAAGTCGTCAAAAAACAAATTGTAGTTCAATATGACACATTTATATACAAACAACACTTTTAGAAGAAAAAAAAAAATTTTATGACATTTAACGGCATAACAATAATGCCAATAACTCTCTGTTGCTGAAACAGACTAGATGATATGTGTCTAGTGAATGTCATCATTCGCTTTAAAATAGACACCTTGACCTCTTTCCGAAAGTAACTAATATGTTGATACAAATTGTTAAACCTTATGCCCCTTATTGGAATAATTGCTTCAGCCGTTTCCATAGTAATTAATTTTACGAATGAATATGGTTATAAAGCTGTGTAAATTTAAAGATGAGTTATTCCAAAAATTTCGCTTGCGGATGAAACGGAGCTTGATACTTTAATTCAATTTAATTTTAATAATTATATTGAAGATTTTGGTTCCTGCTTTTGAAACATGAGAACTCTTATGTAGTGAAGGAATCATATTTTTTTAAAATAATTATATATATATATATATATATTGAAGGAATCATATTTTTTTAAAATAATTATATATATATCTAATTATTTTTAAAAATATGATTCCTTCAATACATAAGAGTTCTCATGTTTCAAAAATTATATATATATAACACTGAGGTTTTAATGGATAGTATGGTGCAACTTTTCAAAAAAAATTTAAGTAGCGATGGCTGTACTATGGTGTAATTTATTCTCTGTTTTTTACTTCAGGCACATAGTCATATTATTATACAAGAAAATACATTATACATTTGTGATATCCATATTAATAGCTTAATTGATAGCACTATGAAAAAAACTTTAAAAAACATGTTTATTTCTTAGAGAGGCGCCATACTGCTGTTTCCATTATATAATGATTAAATTTTTGAAAGATTCTTCAGTTGTTGGTATTTGAGATTCATATTTTTGATCAGTTAATTTACAAAATTGTGACGGTCATTATCATGGTTTTAGAGATTTATTATGTGTTGATGTTTTATTTGATCCAAATTGTCATCTGCTGATGCCCGATCATTGTTGCATAAATATGACTTGTCTTAGTGAAAATGGCTTATCTCCAGGACTGGAGAGATTTGGGACTGAAACTCTTTTACTGGCACTGTTTGCCATTTTGTGTGCTTGATAAACCATTTTTGATATATCTAGATGATGTAGAAAAGGGTTCCAAAATTTTTTCACTGGCTGTCTTAGGCCACATTCCTAGTGCCCCTTGACCCTCACATACAACGAAAACACCATTTCCTTCTTGGTATTAAGTCTACTGCTTATTTCACCCTTTTCCAACACTTAAGTCTGTGATCAAACCTACTTTGAGCCTTGGCCCATGCACCCCCACCCTCAGCATCTGCTGTCTGATTTGCTTAGTGTATGGGGTATATCTTGTTTCTCCCCATCAATACTGGAAAGAGTGATAACAGCTACTAGACCCCATCAATACTGGAACAAGTTATAATAGCTACAGGACCCCATGAGTACTGAAAAAGCGATAATAGCTACTGGACTTGAGAAACCTATTTTCCTGAAAAATTGTCTTAGGAGAAAGATTTTATAAATTTCAACTGAAAACAAGTACTGCTTTTTGAAATTTATAAAATCTTTCTCTCGGTCAGTGAGTTTTCTGCTTGTTCAATGAATGCCAAATGCTTCCTTATAAGGAAATGGCTATTATTACTATTGTCATGAGTATGTCACCAAAGATTTAACTCTGATTCAAACCATAAAATAAGAAAATGTTTTCATATATAACTTATTTAATGTTTTCATATATAACTTTAAATTTCATTCCCTTTAAAAACAAAACAAAAAATAAATGCTCCCCTTGTTCTGATGACACTCTTTTACCCAATTACTGCTCCCTTAGATCTTTCTACAAGGTAGTCAGGTATAACCCATTTTGGGAATAGCTGATATAGTGTACTTATAAATCAACTGATTGGCTGAAGACCTTAAATATATTTTATGATAACATGAATGTTGGTGATTTATGTCTTTGTGTCCATTCCCATCATCTGCAAATAATATTTTTTATTTTATAATATTTTTATATGGTAATAAAGCATAATAAATAAATAAAGAAAAAATCATTATCTGTCTATATTTCTGAGATGAGGTATTATGTACACTATTTACATTATTCGGACTATTGTCCTAATCTTTGTCGCCATGTTTATCACAATGTTTTGGCTGTTGTACGCTCTGGCCTTCTTTAGGTGGTTGGAATGTCGAATTGAACCCTTTATTTCGCTCACTGGGGTAGACTGTTCTAGTTCCACATGCCATGTCTAATGGATGTCAGTTACCTCCTGTTAATTCCCCTCTGAAAATTCTCCACTGCCTTAACTATGTATTGAACTTACACTCTTTGGGCCCTGTTAGGCGTTAGTTAGATCCAGTGACAGGACCCAAAGAGTGTGAGTTCAATACCTGGTTAAGGCAGTGGAGAACTTGGAGAGGAGAATTAACAGGAGATAACTGACATCCATTAGACATGTAGAACTAGAACAGTCTACCCCAGTGAGTGAAATGAAGGGTTCAGTTCGACATTCCAACTACCTGAAGAAGGCCGGAGCATACAACGGCCAAAACGTAATAAACATGGCAACAAAGATGAGGACAATAGTCTGAATAATGTAAATAGTGTAAGAAATAATCATAAAGTATATATTTCTACAAACATATTTCTACATAAATCTAAGAATTATATATATATATATACAGTGTATTTGGGCAGCAATTCCTCTTTTATACAAGTTTATTATGGGTAACTGACAGGGTACTGTGATTATTAAGCTTTTTATTTAATTTTTCTTGTTTCTGTACAAGTTTTTTTTTTTTTTCTGGACATGAAGTCTGCTAAAAACTGTCCAAAACTTCTGCATATCTGTTTTTTTTTTGTTTTTTTTTAATATGTATCTGTTGTTATAGGAATGTTTTATTTTCCATTGGAAAATAAAACATTCCTATAACTTTATACACGTACATAAAAAAAAAGCCTACACATTCAGTTAAAATAAAAATCATCCTTGATAATGGCTAAAAGTTTAGCCGAAAGCACTCAGATACGGAGAACATTTGGACAGTTTTTACACATTTTGTGTCCAAAAAAGTAAACACTTGTATGAACACAAGAAAAATTGAATAAAAACCTTAATCACAGTACATTGTCAGTCACTTTTAATGAAACTTATATAAATTACATAGAATAGAAATCCAAATTTACCTCATTTGAACAGCTATTTCTACTAAGAAGTCTTGTTGGTAGAAATAGTTATTCAAATTAAGTAAATTTGGATTTCTATTCTATGTAATTTATATGCTCTGTTATAATA